ACACACACACATCCTCTTGCTCTCCCAGTTGAGGGCACTAGGCTGGTGGAAGTCTCTCCAGGTCTTCTCTTCAGGCGGCTCTCAGGGCTTCCTCAGCAGCTGACGTGCCCAGAGAGCCACATCCCGTCTCCTCCCGCAGTACCTGCTGGATCAGACCGACGTGTTGGTGGTTGGCGTCCTGGGCCTCCAGGGGACAGGCAAGTCCATGGTCATGTCGCTGCTGTCAGCCAACACCCCAGAGGAGGACCAAAGGTGAGGGGCACATCAGATGGGTGTGGAGGGCCAAGCCCCAGGGGGCCAGGGGCTGGGAAGGGGCCTGGGAGTGTTGCAGTGATTTCCTGGGAAGTTGCTTCCTGTTCCCGGGCTTCAATGGCTTGGTCAGCTGAGGAGGATTTCGGAGTGCAGCAGATCTGTTCCTCCCATCCTTCCCAACATCCCCAAGAGCCCAACCCGGAAATGGGGGAGGTCATCACAAAGGCCCACCGCAAACGGCCTCAGCCCTGCCGCTCACAGCACACCGAGCAAGGCAGGTCCGCAGGCTCCCTCCCGGTGGCCCGCTTCCTCAGCTGGCAGGGCCTTTGGTAGAGGGACAGCAGCAGAATCTCAGTGGCTCAGAAAACAGCGCAGTCTCTGTCTTCAGGGGAATGGCTTTTTAATGGAGGGGAGACAGGGCCACCCAAACAGATGGACCCATTTGGCCTGGTAGAAAACACAGCAAAGCCAGGGCCCTGATTGTCAGGGGGCTGTAGGTAGAGCATTGTGAACACGAGGGGATTCGTTCTGTGCTCAGGCCACCTGCCCTCTGCCTAACGCCTTCCTGTGTCCGCACTCCCGCTCCCCCACCGCAGCATCGCTGGGTCCCGCCAGCTCCACCCCCAAGTCGTCCCCACTTGTCGGCCTCCTTAGCTGCCCTCCGATGCCCAGAGTCCCTGAGTGGCGTGTTTGGGAACGAGGCCGAAGTTCCATGGGAGCAGAGGCCTCCCCCGGTGCCCCGGCGCCCTTGGTGTCTGCCTTGTTGGTCTGGGCACCTCCACGGGTGTCCCGTGGGAGGATGCCGCCGCCTGCTTTTTGTCAGACGGCTCATGACGTGTCTCCAAGAAATAGGAATCGCCCATTGAGCAGTAGGTACTTCTGATGTTACAGGTTGAAAAAAGCTCAGTTTTTCTAGATAGTTATGTGGTAAAAACCCATTTGTCGCACTCAGGAAGTGACCACGTTGAGCCGAACAGGCCAGTTCTGCCTGCTCTGTCCTCATGTCCCCAGGAACCAAGACACCGCTGACCGGGTTTGAAATGCTGAGCTCCCCCCAGGTTCTCTTGGTTCCTAGCCAACAGTGTGCCCCTGTGTATCAGTAGGAGCCTCCAGGTCAGCAGTTCAAACCGACCAGCGGTTCCACGGACAGCAGTGAGGCTGGCTGTTGCTGTGAATTCTCAGCGTGTGGGAGACCCTAGGGAGCTGCTCTGCTCCGACCCAGAGGGCTGCTTCCAGTCGGAATGGGCGGCCATGGCTTTGACTTGTCCGACACTACTTTTTTTTAATCAATCATTTTATTGGGGGGCTCCTACAGATCTTACAACAATCCATCGTTCAGTTGTGTCAAGCACATTTGTACATTTGTTGCCATCATCATTTTCAAAACATTGTCTTTCTACTTGAGCCCTTGGTATCAGCTTCTCTTTTTTTCCCTCCCTCCCCCACCCTCGTGGGAATCCTTGATCAATATGTTATTATTGTTCTTTTTTCTCTTAACACTGTCCATTGTCTCTCTTCACCCACATTTCTATTATTCATCCCCCTGTGGGTGGGGGAGGTTATATATCCAGCCTTGTGGTCAGTACCCCTCTCTCCCCCTTCCCCCTGTCCTCATAGTATTGTACCTGAGGGGTTTATCTGTTCTGGATTCCATGTGTCGAGAGCTCATATCTGTACCAGTGTACACTAGCTGGATTTGTCAGGTAGAACTGGGTCATGATAGTGGGGGTTAGGGCCCATTCAGGAACTAGAAGAATGTTGTGTGTTTGGTCAGTGCTATACTGCATCCTGATTGAATCGTCCCTTCCTTTGGCCCTTCTGTGGGGGCAGGTCCAATTGTCTACAGATGGGCTTTGGGTCTCCATTCTGAACCCCCTTGCTGGCATCCATGTAATTGTTTGTTTTGGATCTTTTGATACCTGATCCTGTTGACACCTCATGATCACACAGGCTGGTGTACTTATTCTATGTGGGCTTTGTTGCTTCCCTGCTAGATGGCCGCTTATTTATCTTCAAGCCTGTAAGACCCCAGACGCTATGTCTTTTGATAGCCGGGCGCCCTCTGCTTTCTTCATCACAGTTTGTCGTCAGCGATCGTGTCCACACTCTTTTAAGGGCATTGCGTGTGTGACCCTCAGTAACACCAGGAGCTGGGGTCCTGCTGCTGGCCTACAGGACACCTGAGGAGGGAGGTTAAGGAGCCTGCCGAAAGCAACGCAACCAGAGAGGCTGGGTGGGATGGAGCACCGCCGTCTGGCAGAGCCTTGCTCTCACACCTCTGTCCGCCAGCTGACTTGTTAAATGAAGCCCCTCGGAACCTGCTGTCTAGTGGGAGGGAGTGAAGCCCACCCTGCAGACAGCAGGAGCCTGGGATGGCCGCCACCATCGGGGTGGGGCTGGGGGGAGCCCGCTCCCATCCATCATCGTCCCTCTGGAGCTGGCTGCAGCCTTGACCCGGGCTTCTCCCATGCCGACTCCTTCCTCTGCAGGGCCTATGTGTTCCGGGCCCAGAGCGCGGAGATGAAAGAGCGAGGGGGCAACCAGACCAGTGGCATCGACTTCTTCATCACGCAGGAGCGGATCGTTTTCCTGGACACACAGGTGCCACCCTCCTCCGCGTGCCCCTCCCCCCAGGGTGCTCGCCAAGCCACTGCTGCTGTGCCCTTGGGCGAGATCGGTCTGTTGCTAGCCCTCAGCCTCCTCTTGTCAAGTTTTGTCTGTCTCCATCCAGCTTCTCCATAGCAGCCAAGAGAATCTTCTGGAGTTCTGGCTACAAGTCTGGGCTCTGGAGCCACTGTCCCCATCCCACCCGCTGCCACCAAGTCGTTTCCGACCCTCTGTGGGGTTCCCCAGACTGCCCGTCATTACGGCAGCAGGCAGTCTCCTCTTTCTCCCAGGGAGCGGCTGGTGGGTTTGAACTGCGACCTCGCGCTTATTTAACAGTTCCACGCCTGGCAAGCCCTCCTGTAAAATGAGAACAGTACCGCCTGCCTCGCAGGTGTTTGACGTTTCAATTAGTTAAAATTAACAGAGGTGCTGGCCACTCATAGCTGGCCATGCCCTGACGGCCACTTGCTCGTTCTCTTTGCTTCCTGCCCCCGTCATGCCTTCCTGCACCACAGCCGGGGGTCCTGTGGTGAAGCAGTCAGCTGCTGGGCACAGCCTTGGCAATGGGGCCCCGCCAGGAGAGCAGACCCGGCGATGGGCAGCACTCCTCTGCCCTCTGGCATTGTTGTGAGTCAGAGCAGACTCAACAAGTAGGTTTGAATACGCCCTAGTGGTGCAGGGGTTTAAGCATTTGGCCTGACGACTCCCAGGTCACATTTCAAACCCCCCAGCCGCCCCACGGAAGAAAGGCCCGGCAGGCCCTCTGTCGCTGGGAAGATGAGAGCTGGGCCCTAACCATCATCCTTCGTCACCTCTCCGCTCTGGAATGGAACTCGGCCCCAGGGCTCAGTTTCCACTTCGCCATAGACAGGTCCCCCACGAGAACCACATGGGCAGGTTCTGACCCCTGGGAGTCGTCAACCACTGGAGGTCAGAGGGGAGGAAGCTTATCGGTGTGCGGAAAGAAGGGTTGGAAACAGGCACGGGGTGTCCCTCAAGAAGGAGGTGCCATGAGTGGTGGGTGTGGACCTGCCGGTCTGCTCCGTCACCTCTCCCCCAGCTTGCAGTAAAGACTTCAAAGGCACCCCAGGAAGGCTGCCCTGCTCCTTGCGCCCTAGCCGCTCCTCCACCCAGGGCTGTGGCTCTCGAAAGCCCACTGCCCGCTGGTCACACTCAACGTTGGGGTCCCCTCACTCACTCTGCGAGCAGCGTGCATGTCCGACGACAGTCCTCCCAGCCCCTTCATGCAGGTGCCACTCGGGCCCCAGCCTGAAGCCATGTCTCCTTTTCTCTGGCTCAGGAGCAGCTGACTGACCCCCGGTGAGGGGTTGGGGAAAGGCTCTCTGGGGCATTTGCCCTTGATTGTGAAGTGGGTGAGGGCCCACCAAGCAGCTCCACTTCCCTCTCGTGTTGTTTCCCGCCACGGACTGCAATCTGGGCCACGCAGCTGTGGGGGAAGGGCCAGCCCCCCCCCCCCACCGATCACCTAATCACGGGCTTGATAGGCGCAGTTGTGCCGTTGAGCTATATAAAGATTATAGTAAAGTCAGAGAGAGCATGAGAGATAGAAGAGAGATAGAAATAACGGAGTCACATTTCATGGTAGCATGCTCACCTCAGCCTCACTTGGTGGTCCACGTGGAACTGGGAGACCAGAGGGCAGGAGAGAGGGGGAGGGGAAGGGGAAGGAGGACAAGTGGAAAGGAAACTGGGGAGAGGACCCGAGAGGAGAAGGAGCTGATGCGAGGCCAAGGAGGGCTGAGGGGGTGGGGGGTGGGTGCAAGCCTACTAATTACAGGTGAAGACATACGTCACAGGAAGGGGTTGCACTATATGTTACACAGCAATGAGAGGGGACAATCTAGGGATATACACGCAATAGGAGGAGGAGGGATTGGGGGTGTACATGTGACTAGATGGGCGAATCCTAGATTCAGGATGGCAGCCTAACTTTGGATGTCACTGAGCAGGTTTGACTTGTTCTCTGGCTCTCCATAGAAACCATTATCAGTAGGGTATAAACCCCACTTACAGGGACCAGGCTAATGTCACAAGCCTTTAGGGAGAAATAGCCCATTGCCCTTAACAGTAGGGAGTGGGCCCTACTTGTGGTGGGACCAGACAGTAGTCTGGCAACTGACTGCCTTCAGGGAGGTAACTCGACAGTCATTTACCATTAGCTTCAAGCAGTGTCCTAAGTCTAACATATATTTGGGGAAGAAGACTTGGGAGAAATGTTTGTTTCCCGCATGAGTGGCACATCCTCCCTGGTTGAAAGTGTCCTCCTGAGCCCCGCAGAGCCTTGCTGGCTGGCTGCACCGGCCTGTGTCCTCCCAAGAGAGACAGTAGCCCTGCCATCTGGAGATGGCCCTTAGCTCAGGAGCTGTGGCCCCTCGGCTCCTGGATTTGACACTGCTCTGTGGCCTCTGCAGCCCATCCTCAGCCCCTCCATCCTGGACCACCTCATCAACAACGATCGCAAGCTGCCTCCAGAGTACAACCTCCCACACACCTACGTGGAGATGCAGGTGAGGCCGCCCTGCTCCCAGACACCCCAAGAGCGTGTAGCCGGGGACCATGGGGAGAGAGGGTCAGCTCGGTCAGCCCCTCTTCAAGTGCCAGGGCCGCTGTGTACAGTGTGGAGGTTGGTTCTTCCTCTGCACTGCTAGGTTCTCAGAGCGCTGTGGCCCTGGCCCCAGAGTCCCCGATGCTCCGGGACCACAGTTCTGGGCAGAGGCCGGGCTCCCACTGTGTCATCCCTTTCCGCGCACCGCAGTCCCTGCAGATCGCTGCCTTCCTCTTCACCGTGTGCCACGTGGTGATTGTCGTCCAGGACTGGTTCACAGACCTCAGTCTATACAGGTGAGAGACAGGGCAGAACCTCATGGCCAGCGAGTCAGCGCCAACTCATCGCGACCCCCCGTGGGTGTCTGAGACTGTCATGTTTGTGGGAGTAGAGAGCCTCGTCTTTCTCTCTTGGAGCTGCTGCTGGTTTCCCAACTGCTGATCCACACGTAACCACGACATGTAACCACGAGAGCAAGTGGCCACCCCGCCCCGCCCACCCTGACTTGGCTCCTTGATGAGGATGCAGCCGATCGATGTCCACAGCCAATTCCTGCCTCTCTCTCCCGATCCCTTCCGCAGGCGCACCCAGCCCAGGGTCTCTGAGTGCCCCCACCCTCAGCTGGGAAATGCTGCACACTTGTCTCCTCCGACGGCCTTCAGGCCACCCCAGACCTTCCCTGGCTGTCTTACAGATGCCCCTTTCCACCACCCCCAACGCCCCCCTCGACAGGATGGGTATGGGATCCATCTCCCGGCCGCCTGTAAGCCTCAAGAGGGCAGGCTCCCCAGTGCCCCTACAGGGCCTCAACAGGGAAGCTGTAGAACACAAGCCTGGGGCTCGGATAGGAGGAGGTGCTGGCCAGAGTGCCCTTGCAGCCTGGTCCCTGACCCCAGGCTGGGTCCCCGACCCCAGGCTGGGTCCCCGTCCCCAGGCTGGGTCCCCGACAGGCTGAATAGAGAGGAAGTGAGGGCTTGTGGGAGTTCTGCCTGAGGCCCCCAGAGGCTCCAGAGGTGTTACATGTGTGTTGTCCCCAACACCCCTGCCCTTGACTCAGGACCCGGGGCCACGGTGGTGCCCTTGACCCAGGAGGCTCGGGGCCTAGGCACACCCGTTCTCTGGGACGGTGCCAAGCCACTCAGGGACGGAATCCCAGCCTTTGCTGGTGCAAGTCTGTCCTCGGGCTTCCTCGGTGGCTTCCCACCCTAGTCACAGCCTGAGAGCTTTGGGCATAGTACCTGGCACATGGAAGCGCAGCATGGGTGCAGGCTTACTGGGTCTCATGCATAACATTGGGTGGGGGGGGGTGTAACCGAAGCACCCGCTGCCCACTGGGATTCGTGAGGCTGAGCCCACCTGGACCCTCTGTTCTGGGCACAAGGGCTGCAGAAGGGTGGGTTCTGCCTGGGGAGTGCATGTGCCTGTTTGGGGGGGTGGCTCAGTGGCTGAGGGTGCTGTGTGTTCTGTGCAGACCCCTTCACCCCGGCTCTCCAGGGACAAGTATCTGTGAGCTGCTAAAGGGGAGGCTGTCTGCCCACAAGGTGTGCAGTCTCGGAACCCGGGGAGCAGTCCTCCTCTGTCCTCTCCCAGAGGGTCCCCATGTGTTGGAATTGACTTGGCAGCAACCAGCTTGGTTTTTATTCTTGTAAAAGACCTGCCACCCAGTCACAGCATGCATGGTGTCCACAAGGTGGTCTCTCAAGTTCCCCAAATCATGTGACCATCATGTCCTCAAAGGGAACCCTCGGCCCGGACCGTGGGCCAGGAGGTGCCAGCACAGGAGTGATGCGCACTCACCCCAACCCCCAGGTTCCTGCAGACCGCCGAGATGGTGAAGCCCTCCACCCCATCCCCCAGCCATGAGTCCAGCAGCTCCACCGGCTCCGAGGAAGGCACCGAGTACTACCCCCACTTGGGTGAGGGCTCTGCAGGCGGGCGGGTGTGCGCACACAGCCCCTCCCTCCACCCAGCCCAGACCCCCAGGCTCTGGGTCTAGCAGTCTTTCGGGTTCGGTCTCCCAGCAGGGCCTCAGGAACAAGTGTGTCTGACTAAGGGTGCCTCAGACAGGACAAGCCTCCCCGGCCCTCCCCTCTCCCCATACACTCACCCTCCTTGTGCCACCTCCTGTCAGAGCTGTTCCTGGGCCCAGCATCCTCTGTGATGCCTGGTAGTGGAGACTGGGAAGAGGGCAGGTCCCAGGAGGGTGAGCTAGTGCTGACAAGCCCCCGGCGCTGCCCTGCCCCCTCAGTCTTCCTGCAGAACAAAGCCCGCCGTGAGGACTTCTGTCCCCGAAAGCTGCGACAGATGCATCTGATGATTGACCAACTCATGGCCCACTCCCACCTGCGCTACAAGGGTGAGGACCGCCCCCCTCGCCCTGGACCCCCCCTCTCCGAACCAGCGCCTGACCCCCACCCTCGTGCCCCAGGTACTCTGTCCATGCTGCAGTGCAACATCTTCCCGGGGCTTCCACCCGACTTCCTGGACTCCGAGGTCAACCTGTTCCTCATGCCCTTCATGGACAGCGACGCCGAGAGCGAGACCCCCCCACGGGCAGGTGCAGCACCCTGCCCCAAGAAGACACCCACCCCAGCCTGGCCAAGGGAGGCGTGCTCCCGAGACCAGCATGCTGGTTGGCTGGGAGGAGGGTCCTCTGGCAGGCTGTCCTGACTGTCTACTCCCCCCTAAAAACCCCTGCCAGGGCCTGGTTCCAGCCCGCTCTTCTCCCTGCTGCCCGGCTACCGGGGCCACCCCAGTTTCCAGTCCCTGGTGAGCAAGCTCCGGAGCCAGGTGATGTCCATGGCCCGGCCCCAGCTGTCCCACACGATCCTCACTGAGAAGAACTGGTAAGGGGGCGGGACCGAGGAGGGGCTCCCAGCTCACTGTGTGACCCCAGCGCAGGAATGGCACCCGTCGTGTCGGTCCCCGGTTTCCTGCACGTTTGACTTCAGTTAACCTGCAAGTGAGGGCTGGTTGGTCGCTGATTCCTGGGGAGAGGTCAGCTCAGAGAGGGAGCGGCTCATGCAGGGTCACGGGGGAGGAAGGCCCTGTGGTTTGGTGGCCTTTAGGTGTCAGAGGTAGGACCAGTCCTTCCTGGGAAGCTTCAGGTAGGTCTGTTGTGGAGCCCTGGGTGCGGGAGGCTGGTAGAAGCTCCTGGAGCTGCCCTGTGCTCTACCTGTGCTGCACGGCCTGCTCCTCCCCCTCTCCTCTTCTGCCCTCCCGACCTACGGCAGGACTGTGAGCCCCCCTCCTGCCAGCCTTCACCCAGCCCCGTGTCACCCCAGTCCCACTTCATGTGACTGTCTCTGCCAAGGCGCCAGGGCCACCCCCTCTCATTTCCAGACTCCTTGGGGCTGGAGAAGGGGCCAGGGGAGCAAACAGGCTGCAGGGAGCCATGCCTGGGGGAGCCCAGGACGGTGGGCTGGCACGCTCCCAGCCAGGGGCCTCCCATTGGCCCGCCCGGGGTCCCAGTGGGGAGGAGGGGAGTTTAGCAGGCCGGACAGCAGCAGTTCCACATTCCCCATCACCACCAGGCTCTGGAGGAAGGTAAGGCAGGGACCCCACCTGCAGAGGCCCACACACTGGGAGGTAGGATTTTGAGGTACTTCCAGTACATCTTCTAGGCATCTTCCTTCAATCCCAGCCCAGAGAACAGAGCCCAAGAGGCCAACACCTCAGGCAGGCTGTCTGCTGGGCCTCCCTCTGTGTCCTCACCTGTCAGGCAGGTGGAAGGTGGGGTGGGGCTCCACCGGGGGCACCCTGACTGCTGTTCCCCGCCCACAGGTTCCATTATGCCGCCCGGATCTGGGACGGGGTGCGAAAGTCCTCCGCGCTCGCAGAGTACAGCCGTCTGCTGGCCTGAGCCCAGGTGGAGTGGACCCAGGGGTCCCCGGTGATGGTGAAGGAGCGCATGTGTCCTCCCTCTGGCTGGCGGAGAGTGTGAGCAGGTCTGAGGGACCAGAGGGTTGTGATGTCCTCAGCTGGAGACAGGAGATGCCGAGGGCCAGGCCCACATCCGAGGGAGGTGGTTCCCATGGAGACTTTGAGGGTCTCCCCCAGGCTGCTATGGGGCAGCCCCTCCCAGGACAGGCAGAGGAGCAGCCCCTCCTCCGAGACGCTAAGGAAGGCAGGGGGAGGCAGGGCTGGGGGCTCTGTTGGGGCCCATCCGGTGGTTCAAATAAAAGCTGTCACACAGGCCTAGCCTGGCTCTTGTCTGTCTGGCATGCCGTCCTGGGAAGTGGTGCACATTTGCCACCCAGCTTGGTGGGCTGCTTGTCCACCGCCACCCACTGGAGCCTGAACTTTGACAGACTCACCCACTGGGGGCCGGGGCTGTTGAGCAGGTTCACGCCAGAACCCTCTGGAAAGGGGCATTCCGTCTCCCAGGGAAGACAGCACCCCCTGCCTGCAAGACTGTCTGCCTTTAGTTAAATACCAACAAATGCAGTGCTGACCCATGGTTCCTACCCCGTCAATGCAGTGTCTGCTCGTGTTCACACGGCACGCCCTGCCTTCTCTCGCAAACCTTGTTTACTCTTGGCGAGAAACAGCCCCTACCCTGGTGGGCAAGTCCGCCAAAGAGCTCTTTGAAAGTGCTGGAGCAGAGAGGTCTCTCATAGGCCTGCCTGACCCAGGCCGGCCGGGTGGTCCTCCATGAGCAATTGAACAAAGCCAGCGGGGAAGAAGGGATGCCTCAGAGCAGTGAGATGCATGGACGACTCTGCCCAGGGAGGGAGCCCGCCCCAGGGCTCCGTGGTAGCAAGGGTGGCAAGGTTTTTTCTCATGTGTTTTTCCCACATTATCAGAGACGGTCCCTAGAGGTCCCTGCCCATGCTTGGTAGGCGGTCAGCCAAAAAAGAGGAAGACCCTCACGGAGGCGGGTAGACACAGTGGCTACAGCTCCACCGTGGTGACTGGCTGGTGCGGCCCAGGCTGTGGTTCCTTCTGTTCTATGTTGGGTGGCTCTGGGTCCACTCCACGGCACCCAGAACGGCTCTGGTGGTGCAGCGCTGAAGCTCAGCTGTCCACCCGAAGGTTGGCGATTCAACCCCCACCACTGGCCACACCACAGGGGAAGGCCCGCCAATCGGCTGCCTACCTTAAAGGATTATAGTCAAAATGACCCTGTAGGGCACTTGCACTTCCCCACGCGGGGCCGCTAGCACTTGAAAATGGACTCGGTGGCACTACATGGCCTCAGGTAAATGCTGCCCTGTTAGGTAGTCAGCATCGGGACCAAGGGGGGTTGTCTCCCCAGGTGTCTGCATAGGGCCACCACAAAGGGGCGCCAGAAACCAGGCACCCACCACACCTATGGAAAGACCCAAACTGAGTGTGCTCAGACACGGCCCCAGGTCTACCTGGATGCACAGACTAGGTCCAGCCACGTGACATGACACAGGTGGGCCTAAACTCAACCAGTGAGGTCAGCCAATACCGTCCACCACAGCTCCCTGGCCGGAGGAGATCAAAGCAGCCACGGGCAGGTCTCTTTGGCTCCTCTTACTCTCTAGTTCGGGTACACTCTTGGAGGGCAGGGGGTTGCACATGTGCCACCCGGGCCCTGGGGTCCAAGCTCTCTCTCAGCGTGCTCATTTAGTATTTCCTGCTCTTGGCCCTGGGATTTCCTGTGAAGACCTGAAACGTCCCTTTTCCTCACAAAAGTCACTTGGATTTACAAATGTGCTTCTGCCACGTGGATTCTTTGAGCATTGCGAAGCAAGAACTGAGGGATAAACCACTCCAGAAACCTAACAGTTTTGCCTGCAAAATAGCCATAATCTTAGTTCAGTGGTTCCCCAAGTCTCTCCAAATCGGTAAGTTGACCCTACCCACCCTGTTAGCCCTGACACTCAACCTGCTGTCCCACAGCCCATAAATCCATCAGTTCTGCAGCCCACAGAGTACCTGGGTCGCCCACCACCCCAAGGCCACTTGTTGCTTCTCTGGCCCTTGGCACACACACCCCGCCCTGGCATCCCTGGAGGAGCAGGGAGGGGGAGAGACACCTCCATCACGGCAGCTGCTGGGTCCATGACTCCCCAAACCCAGCTCACTGCCGTTGAACGGACTTCCCGCTCAGAGGGGCCCAAGCCCCAGAATGGCCTTTTAGTTCTTCCTGTGAGTTACTGATCACTGTCACACGTGACTGGAAGGGCCAGGGCTCGGGAAATGGCAGCCGTCACACCTGACTTCATGGCAGGTGATGGGGGTGGGGGAGAGCAACGCTCATTTCAGAGTGCAGCCATCCAGTACCCCAGAGCTGTGCCGCTCCCTCCCGCCCCCGGGTGTGGGAAACAATGGGAAGGGTGCATGCAGACACTCCCACCATTCATACGTTAGGGAGCCTGGGAGGTCCCTTCACCTTCATGGGTCCCACTCACATTCTCGTAAAAAGTATTCCCCTCAATTGCCACCCGTAATAATGCCAATTTCAAGGTGCTACTTTCAAGCACATGTGGCTGCTACTATCTATGCTTGAAGGTCCCCTGCCTGAAGGTCGTCTGCCGTCCAAGACAATCAGACACTGCTGTCTGTCCCACCCTAAGTTGGGCCCACTCCCTTCTGATGAAGAACATAGATGGTTCCCCTGGAGAAGGGCTCAAAGACACCTCAGGTCAAGCCAGCTCAGAGACGACCAAGGTTAGGTTGCCATCTTGACTAGACCCTGCCCATCTTGTTATGTATGGGCCTTCCTGTCCCGTGTGCCTCTAGAGCAGTGGTTCTCAACCTTCCTAATGCCGCGACCCTTTCACACAGTTCCTCATGTTGTGGTGACCCCTCCCCAACCATAAAATTATTTTCGTTGCTACTTCATCACTGTCATTTTGCTACAGTTATGAATCGGACGACCCTGTGAAAGGGTCATTCAACCCCCAAAGGGGTCCCGACCCACAGGTTGAGAACCACTGCTCTAATGCAACCCCTTCCTATTGCATGTAGACCCCTAACTCGTCCCCCTCATGTTACAATATGCCTCTAATACAACCCCTTCTTGTTAACATAAGTGCATACCGTGGCCTTTGTGAGATTATATATAAACTCATGAGAATACATTAAGCGATCTCTGCTCCGACCTGGTTCCTGAAGCAATCGCAGAGGTGAGCCCTTGCTTTATCTTGTGTGATGTCTCTAACTTATCTCTCAATTACACAACCGCCCCTTGAACCCATTCGGCTGTGGGGCGGCAGGTCCCCCACACTTGGGTCAGGCTGAGCGCCTCTCAGAGGTGGTTCCCGGTGGCGCCAATGCCCATGCTCAGAGAGAATGAAGTGGAGGAGCCTGCAGACCTCCTGGTGAGACTTGCTGGGAAGCCCGCCCGTTTGTGAGGATGATGCAGGACCCACTGGGGGTTCGTTGTGTTGAGCATCAGGCCCCTGAGAGTTGGAATGGACACACTGGCAGCTGTCTGGATGGTCGTCTGGGACTGTTTCCTAGGAGCCAGGGTGATTTCAGCTCCCCTCCCCCACCCAAGAAAACCACACACACACACAAAAGACTGTCAGATCTGGGAACCATCTACAGAGAAGGGATAGCCCCACCCCCTCCCTCTTCCCACTGCCACCTCCTGCCCTGCGCATGGCTCCCAGAGCTTTCCGGGGTCATCACAAACCTTGTACAGTTTCCCCCAAATTCAACAACCCAGCTTTCTTCGGTGACAGTCCAAACCTATGAAATCAGCCCCACTTTGTCTCACTGCCCATTGCGACTCCTGGCAACCCAACCGGGCAGGCAGAGGAGAACTGCCCCCCAGGGCTTCCAAGGCTGTGACTCTTTACGGGAGCCGCTGGTGGGTTTGAACTGCTAACCTTGCGCTTAGCTGCCTATCAGAGTTCCACATGGTAGAGATGGCCAAGTGGAACTAGAGGCAGACTCGGCTCCTTTTCTTCTCCCCCACCCCAAAGATGGTCAGGGCTGCCAGTTTCCTTGATGGCAGGCCTCTAGGAGCTTTCTAGAGGGAGGTGGGGGTCATATTAGCTGAGAGCTGGGCCTCCCCTGCCCACCCATGTGCTGAATGGCCTGCTCAGTCCCTGGCCAGTTGGCCCCCATCCACTCGCCCCTTGCCCCTCTGAGTACCTGGAGCCATGGCGACTGAGCTCTCACCTTGAACTGCCAAGATCTTTGTGGTCATAAGCTGCCACTGAGCTGGCCCTTGACCCCAGGCACAACAGGGCACGATGCTGCTTGGTCCTGCCCCATTCCCCACAATCAGTCTGGGATCCCAGATCACTGTGATCTAGAGGATTCCTCCAGGCATTTCTGCCTCACCCATCTTCGTCTAGAACAGAGGTGCGGCATGCCTAGCTCTCGGGGCTGGGTAAGTCCCAAGAAATCAAAATCAGCTCACATCACACAACTCAACAGAGAGAAGCTGTGTCGGCCATCACACGGGGAATTAATTAAATGTTTGACCAGCAGGGCTCAAGAGTGGTTATAAATATCCAGATGGCCCTTGGCAGAATAAAAGTTCCCCGACCCTGCTCTAGAACAAAGCTTCCTAAGTGGTGGGTTGCAGTGGGTTGTGTGACTGGATGCGGGTGTCGAAACACATTTGGCCACAGCAAAAGATTTCCGAACAGTAATTCAAAATCGAAAACACATAATGAGTTCAAGGCAGCTCTGGCAGGGCTTGCCTGTTTCAAATATCTCAGGCAGAAAGGAATCCCTCATGGAAAAGTTTAGGAGCCTTGGTGGCGTAGTGATTGTGCATTGAGCTTCAAACTGCAAGATGGCAGGTTTGAAACCACCAGCTGGTCCAAGGGAGAAAGATGGGGCTTCCGTAGAGTGTTACATTCTCAAACTCACAGGGGCAGTTCTATCCTGCCCTCTAGGGTCGCTGAGAGTCGGCACTGACTCAATGGCAGAGCGTGACTTGAATGGAGAAGCTTCAGGGGCCCTGGAAGTGCCAAGGAAACCTGTTTAGCATCTTAGTACCTCGAAGCCGGACTGCAGGGTGGTGGCATGGCTTGAGGTGCACGGGCAGGAATGGAAAGAGGTCTCTGGCGTTGAAGCACCACTGCCTCATTGCCAAGGTCATGCTGCCCTTGGGCCCTGTGCTCAGGAGGCAGGGTGGTCCTCCGCTCCTGCTAGATGGGAACCGATTCCTCCGTGTGGGAACACTCCAGCCTCTTTGGCCCTCCACTCAGTGACAGTTTTCCCAGGTACACCCTACCAGGAGGAGCCCTGGTGGTAGTCGGGCT